ATTTATGAAAATCTGATGGGTTTATAATTGAGCAGTGGCGTCGCTAGGGGGGGGGACATGCAGGGGATCGAGCCCCCTGAAAAATTTGAATAGCCCTATGAAGCAAAAATTTTTTTTAATAGAACCAAAAATAAATTTTTTTAATTGCTTCCCGAACAATTTCTTTTATAATTCTATTGAGTAATATATAGATTTAATTTTATTATTTAAAAATTAATAAGACTATCTAAATTTTATTAAATGAATACTATTTTAATTATTAGATTTGATTAATACATATAAATTATATTTTCACTATGTCAGCTTGCGATCAAATTTTGTTATAAAAATATATCAATATCACTCACTAAATATTAATTTAGCATTAACACTTGAATATTAATTGACTTTTATTATTTAAATAATTATATAACCCTAATTAAATTAATATAATCATTTATTAATTGAAAATTAACAAATTTAATTGTAATTAGCCGAGTTTAACATCACTAATCAACTATATTATTGATTTTTAAATTTAATTATCATGTCTCTTTCTAAAATTATTTTCAAGGTCCAAATCCAAATAAGTATAAGAGATTTATTTATAAAAAGTAAGTAGACATATAGTTCATATTCCTATATTTAATTATTTATAAAATATTAGGTAAAATGCAACTTTTGCAGACGTATTTTACAGTTATACAATATATTACAATTAATATTTTTAAAATTTTACTAATCAATGCTTTTGATAATAACAATTTGCATTTAATTATTTAACGTTATCTATTTATTTAAAATATTATTCTAATTAAACATCTTATTATTCATCCCACAATAAATATAATAAATTAGATATCTTTTCTTCTCTTTTTTTTATATTTTTAGGATAGCTATTTTTCTTCTTCTTTGAAAAACAGTTTTGAGTTAAATTTCTAATACGAATATATTTTAGATATTATTACAAACTACTATTATTTTAAGATATAATATACCAACTAGAAAATTTTAATTGCTTTCATGATATCACTCTTTTTCTTATTTTATAGTTACAAAATGTTTCATTTCTAATATGTCATCCTTGCCGTGTAAATAACTCAAGGCCTCAATATATTTGCATAATTTCTTCTAAAGATTTTTAATGTTTTTGTTTCATCAATTTATCTAACATAATAATTTCTGATAAGGGTTACCATCGTGAGTGTCATGGCTATGACTGTAAATTAACCAGCATCTTTTATTTGTGTGGCTATGTAATTTAAGATTATTAATATAGCTGCATTTAATTTTAGATTATTACTACAGCTGCTGAGAGCATATGATTACATATTTTAGATATGCAAATAATGGTCAACTGTGTAGTCGTTTATATATCATTAAAATTGGAAGGTAATCTTTTAGAAATTTAATATCTCACAATAATTTTCTCGATTACTTATCTAGCTTCCATCATGTCATCTAAGGAAGCCCTAATTACCGTATAGTTTTATTATTTGGATAGGTCGTTTATATTCTTTCAAGAATTGTTAATTTGGTAAGGCATATAAATTTTTCTTATTAGTCCATTCTATAAAACAATGTCTAAAATGGTAACAGAGAGTTATATTAGTTTCATAGCCTTTTGTCAATGTAAGTTGCTAAGAATTATAAAGCCTTATGTGGTTTTTAATAACCATTATCAATTGAGGCATATGTCTGAATTAATTAACTTTTTATCATTTATATTTCTTTAGACGCAAATTTTTTTTATATCAACCATCGAAAATATTTTATACTGTGATAAATACATTTTGTATTAAAAAATATTATTTTTAAATATGTCTTGTATTGTTTTAATTATTTATATGTTAGTTTATTTTGTATACAAAATAAAATATAATAAATGACAAAATATGAAATTCGGATTAATTGTTTAGAGTTAGCAAATTTTAAAAAAGTATAATATATTAATATAAAACCAACCGGCCTGCAAATTAAAGGTATGGGGGCTTCACCCCCTATAAAAATTTCTTAGTTGAGCCCTCTGAGATTGTAAAGGCTAGCGACGCCCCTGGAATTGAGATATTTAGAACAACAATGACACTCAAAAGATTCCGATTTATAATTAATACAATAAGATTTATGACATACTAACAAGAGAAGAGAGAAATCACATTAGAAATATTTTTCAAGAATTTGTTGATAACTGCTACAGATCTAATACAATATCAGAATACCCTAGATGAAATGCTTCCAGCATTTCGTGGTAAAGGCCCATTCAGGCAATACATGCCAAATAAACCATCAAAATATGGCATAAAACTATACTCCTTATAAAAAAACGAAATATTTTTGTCAAATATAAAATAAATTTATGTTTAGAACACATTAATATTTTATGTAATAAATGTTTTGCATGTCAAATTTAGCATATTTCAATGTTCTATATTTTTTTTTATATTTGAATGTATTAGTGTAATTTTTTTTCATATTGAAGAATAAAAATCCATATTATGAATTATCATGATTATATGAAGGATAAGTTTTTTTTTAATTTTTGGCAAAATTATAGTTATCCTCATCATCTTTAATCTAGGATTAAGAAATAAAAATATTTAAATATTTTATCAAGCTTACAGTTTGATCTATCTTATATACAAATATCAAATGAAAATAATGAATATAACTGAAGATATATACATTTGAAATTGGGGTCTATTAAACCCCAATCGAGTACTTACCATTTTTTTCACCGGAGTATTGATGGGTTAAATATTTTCAGGTCATTATAGTTTGCTAATTTTATAGACTTATGATATTGATTTTTTGAATTTTTATTATAACAATTAACGAGATTTTATTTTTATTGATTATAAAAAAAATCCATAACCGCTTGTCTTTTACAGATAGTAAAAGATCTAATGGCTTCACTACTATTCCCTGTGAAAATGAAACCTTCTAGCATAAGACATTCCTTGTGTTCATCTCGTATTCACCTCTAATAGCATTAAAACATTTTAACTTCATAGAGGACAATACCTTATAATTTTGTATAATATATATCTTTTTTTCTGCTGAGCTTTGAGGTCTTAATATACTTTCTCTCTTGTGTGACAACTTTCCTCACCTTGGAATTTACATTAAAAAATATATGACATTTATTACTGCAGTTAGGTATGATTTGCAGATCGTTAAAATCTTAATAAAATAATAATTTAATAGGATCGATCCATTATAATATGATGGATTATTCCAAGAAATCAGGGTATAAGAATAAAATTAAATCTTTATAATTTAATATATTTATAATAATATACAAAATAGAAAGAGAAAAATTATTATTTTTAAATATTTGGTAGCTTAATAACATGGGCCGAATAATGGCCGTGCCAATTTTTTTTCGCAAAAATGAGCGTGCTGTGTTTAACCTTAATAATTTATGTGATACCAAATACATAAAAAAATTGTTTTTCCATTGAAATCTGATAATATTTTATTTGTAAACAATAGCAATTAGTATAAACTAATTTGAAAATTTATGTCAAAAAGACATGCTTGTTTTTATCTAAAAATAAGTTACTTTAATTAATACTAACTAAATATTTCCAGGATGGCTTAGCGGAGTCGAGGGGGAGGAGTTAGGTATCTATGGGTAATTCGTACCAATGGGAGTAAATTTATTTGGCAATTAACAATTTTATTTTTGGATAAGGGCAATATATATTGTCAGAAAAATTATTTAAATTTAATTATTGACCTATTCTAATATACAAAGATTAGTAAACATCGTCCAAACTCTATATATTGCATACAATCACAGTCAATTAAAATAAAAATTTTACACCAAACAGAGAAATTTTATTTTATAAAATTTATATAATAATATCCTTAAAAAATAATTATACTGCAAGCAAGACCAATAAATATTCTTTATAGTAATTCCCTGCACAAGCGTAGCCACATTTTGATAGAGGGTGGTTGCATTATTAGGTGCGTTTTCCTAATAAATTTTATTAAAGGTCTTGATCACTTGCTGCAGGCCTCTGGCTAGTGTTGTTAAACGGCTCGTTTTGAGCCGATTTTTGAAAACGGCTAACTCAATATTTCGTCCAGAAAAGTATTACACAAGCCTAAAGATTTTATTTGCAGAAAGAAGAAAGGTTTGGACATCTATTAGCGAAATCTCGAGGCTTAGGCAATATTTTTCTGGCTAAAATATTGAGTTAGCCTTTTTTAAAAATCGGCTCAAAACGAGCCGTTTAACAACACTACTTCTGACTATGTTATACTAAAAATAATTCTGAATTTCACTTTTTTAAAAAAAAATATTTTTTCCCAAAAATTTTATTTTATAGACTTTATTTTAAATAATTATCAATTTTTACTTATTTTTCATTCAAGTTCTTATTTATAGTATTATATTATATACAATTTTAGGGGAGAGGGGGGCATATAGGGTAAATTTTTTATTAGCTTAAAATATATTTACTCAAACAGGCAAATTTCTATAGGGGAAATTTTTTGCCCCCCCCCCTCTGGTTACGCCTATGATTCCCTAATTGATACGTATTTGATTATAATAATCTAAATAAATGTTGATATTAATAAATTTGAATAGAATTTGCCATTTACGAAGCTAAGAGGGGTATTTGCTTCTACTGAATTTTATTTCATGAAGAGAATTTGGTCGATTTTTATAAATGGCCCGATTAAGATTTTAGCCAAGATAATATTATACAGGAGAAATTTTGCTCATAGGTGGTAGATAGGTTATTATCAAATCTCCAGATATTATTATTATGGACAAAATCTTAATCGGGCCTTTTTTAATCGACTTATATCAAGCCGTTTAACTACACTATTTTATCCTATTTTTGAGATATCATCTGAAACGTTGCAACTCCCTGCAAGTCACATTATAAGTATGCTAAACTTGTTATATTTTGGAGAATATACATTTTAATGTTACTTTGCATTAATTCATTATTAATGATGTTTACAAAATATTGAAAACTGAGAAAACCCATTCATGTCATAATCTAATTTCAATTGGTTCGTTCAACAAAAGTAATCATACATTTTTTAATTGGCTTCTTATTGAAAAATGGCTTATTCGATTCTTGTATTCATTTTATCGTCCACATTTAGTACAATAATAATGATAATCTTATTTTATTTTTTACAGTTTATGCTAATGAAAATTACAATTTATATAGTGATTGCTCACAAGGTCCAAGTTATTGGTGTAAAAATTTAACCAACACTAAGAGATGTGGGGCATTGAATCATTGTGCAGATTTATGGAATAATCAGAAGAATATAGAATCTGTATTTGTTAAATATGTTTTTAACTAATTATATTTTCTTTTAGAGCCCAAATGAAGACTGTCAATTTTGTATGTTCCTTATAAGTGATGTGAAAGAAATGGTGAAAAACTTTGCTGATGAAGTTACATTCCTAATTTGTTTTATGATTTTTTTTATTCAATTAGGCTGATATTAGAAAAAAAATTACTGAGTCATGTGAATTAATCAAAAATTTTGATTTATTCCAAAAGGTAATATGCTATATATTCTATTATATGAAGCATTTATATTAGTGTAAAACTATAGCAAATGAATTGTATTATTCACTTATTGTGCTTCTTCACAAAGATATAGTAATACTTTACACTTTATTTGAATTTAATTTACATATGTGATTAGTCTCCTTTTTGGATATGTGATAGTATCCATCTTTGTAATTCCACTAAAGAATTTTCCTTAATGAACACATATAAATTGAGCAATGATGAAATATCTCATTTTAATCCATTGGATGAAATTCACACAGAAGATATATCTATTGTAAAATTATTATTTGAGTATACATTTTTTAATTTCCCACTGCAGATCAGTTTATTTAATGATAAACTTGATAAAATAATATTGGGGGGTTCCGAGGATGTGGATAATAATGAGCAAAATTTGAAAGGTGATCCAGAAAGCCTTACAATTGATTCCACCATCCATGAACACCATAATGCATTGAATAACCCATGGGCTACATTAATTGCTAGTTCAGTTTATCAAAATATCGCAGAAGATGAGAATCTTTTGGCCTTTATTTTTACAGACATTCACAAAAATGTCATTCAAGCTGGTGTACAGGTATTTTTAAACTTAATTTGATTTTTTATGAAACTACAGAAATTGAATTTTAGGCCTAGTTTTAATTTCTAAAAAATAAACTCATTTTCTAGCCCTATTTAAAAAATATTTTAAGTTTAGTTTATTTCAATTTGAGGTGGTTCTACTTCCAAAACTGTTAACAAATTTTTAAAAAATATAAAAATTGTTTGCTAATTTGTTTTTCTCTTGAATATTTTAAAATAAGATTCTTATTCCTAGATTTATCCCAGTTCTCAGAGTTTCTGTCATAATATAGTATTAACTTGCTCTGTCTAACACATTAGGAGGGTTGGCCAAAGGGGATCCATGGTGACATGATTTTTGATATTTTGAGGGTGACAGATTTGAAAATGCAACTTTGATTTTTTTTATAATTTATTATTCTATTTTTTTGTTTAAATTTGAATTTTTCATAATAACTCATATTTTTGTTTAATATGTTCATATTATATATGATTCAAGAGCCTAAGTTATAGTCAGTTAAATTATTATACATAATTTAAAAAATATTCCAGGTAATATTCTTCTGGAAAACTAAAAATTTAAAAACACATCACAACACTCTTTGATTTAAATAAAATATGTTAAATGAGGAAAAAATATTTTTGTAAATATGATAAAAATCCTGATTATTTGATCAAAAAACACATTATGAGAATAGGGAAGACAAAATTTCCTATATTTCTCAAGAAATTTCCCCCTGGGTTACATCTCTAATCCTAACAACCACTTATCATAGGCACATATGATATATGTATCAGCAAATAACATCATATGGGATGCTTACATTGAAATTTAAAATATTTAATATTTGACAAGATGGATTTGTTGAGCCCCTAGGTCCATGCAAAATTAAATTGTCCTTGAAGAGCAATTTCTTATTTGTCATGATCTTTATTTTTGAGGTATTTAATTTTTTTGTTTTTATTTTTTTAAAATATTATTTTTACCTGACATTTGTAAGCTATCTCTGCTTTCTCATCTTTTCACTGTGCCTACTATGTCATTGCGGCATACTTCCCATGAGGTTTGACAAAAAATGTCACACATCATGCTGACATGTTTAGAAAATTTTTACTAATACATGGTACCATTAGAAAAGTAGATACTATTTTTTTTAACTAGGCCTTAATTTTATGAAGTTTTTTTTAAGTAAATAAATGTATATTATATTATAGTATTAGGATTCAGAAACAATGATTTTATTCATGTTTTAACAGTGCTTCATTTTTATAATAGGTTACAAATGGAAAAATTTAAACCTGACAATGAGCTTTCTCCTTTAAAATAAACAAATAATTTTCAGAAAAATCTAATATTATAAAATAAACTTTTTTTCAATGATTGTTGGACAGATTATAAACGAGTGACTCATTATTTTAACTTTTTATAATAAATATTCTATAAACTTGTCATCACATTTGGTAATCAATTCAAGATTTGGTGTTTAAATGTTGCATATTTAATTCTATTTATTTCCAACAAATCACATACATGTCTTTTCCATTCTATATCCCAGCATTGATCACAATTATTGAAATAACATTTTGGCTGGAAAGGATTGCATATTATATCTTCCAAACGATTTGTATGGTTTTATAGAATATTCATATTTATTTTGCAACACCTGATTATTGGCTTATCCTTTGAAAATATGTGGTCTTTAATATAACCATGGACACTTTTCGGAATTAAAAAAAGTTTCTTACAGAAAGTTTCAGAAAATTGTAAAAAGTTTGATAATTATCATGACAAATTTAATTTATAAAGTTATTTAACCCCCCACCCCCCCCCCCCCCCAAAAAAAAAACAAATGATCAATTATAAATTGTATTTTCTTCAGAGTTGTTAAACGCTACTTTTAAAAGTAGCGCACTATCACTATTTGTCAAAAAGGTAGTTCATTATTTGCTACTATTTTTTAAAAGATAATGTTATTGTATATTAAATAAAATATATAAAAATAAACATTTATAAATATTAAAATATAGTTAGTTTTGATTATAAAAAAATTTATGTAATAAAAATAAATATTTATGGAATTTGTTGCATTTTAATAATAAAATCATTTCAATATTATTATCCCCAAGTCTAGAGCGACGATCAGAAAATATAAGTTTTGCTTTACTAAATAATCTCTAGCACTTGAGGGTAAGGGTGTATTTAATCTTATATACATATTTTTAATATAAGATAGGTTATCAATAATTTTATTCACAATTACATCGTATGTCTGGCATCCTATTATCATTTTGAGGGCTAATGCTACAGATCTTCTTTTTAAAGTCCTAGGGTCTAGCCAATGGCATGTGATACCCAAATAAGCTCAAAAATATTTAATCAGATCAATTTATAAATATGAATAAGTTTTTACCTTCTGTTATGTGTCCAACTATCTTCCCTGGTATATATATATATATATATGATATCTCTGATAACTCTACTATTAGAGCATCTTTCATCATTTTAAAGTTATCTGCTATTTTATTCATTAGTGTCTGGCGGCATAAAAATGTTGTACCAAGGGATAGAGTTTTAATCATCATGATGATGGATTATCAACCAAGGACATTGGCTGAACTGTATAAATTATAAAATCAACAATAACTTTATCAGCCAATTTCTGAGAAATATTGTCATTTGCATTATTAATTAATTTGGTTTGAATTGAATTAGTCTTTTTGGATGTAGTGTTGCCTATACCAAAATTATTTAGATGTTTCTCCATTTCCTTAAAACTCATGAACAGTCTTATAAAATAAATATTATTAGAATATAAAAATGACAATTTACCTTTAGGTGTTTCTTGAGGTTATAGCTACTGGATTAATTTGAGGAAATATTTTTTTTTACATTTTAAACAAATAAATTTGAAGCCAGTTTTGGATTATTTTAAAAAAAATTTCAAATCTAGGAAATGGGAAATTTGTATTATAGCTATTAAGAACATTTTCTTCCCTGGTATCTTTCATTTTATTAATATCATTGTCTGAATCACTTTCAAAGATTTGGATATCCATAGGCAATGACATTTTAAATTATTAACACGTGATTTAGGTTTATAATACAAATGAAAATATTTCAATTTCAAAATTAAATAATAAATCATAAAAATTATAATAATTATGATATTATATTAAATTTTCATGTTTATACTTACCTTCATTATATTTTTTAAAAGTAGCTAGCGCTAAAAAATTAAATAGCTATTAAGCTATCAAAAAAGTTAGCGTGCTAAGTAGTGCACTACTTTAACAACTCTGATTTTCTTTGTGCATTAGTATTAAAATGATTTAGAAAATTGAAGTTCGCATTTTTCTCTACAAATTATAAATTTAACACCATCCATATTGGTGATATTTTTTGAATCTATGTCGACTCCATTAATATTATTGCAGAGTATATTATTTTATTATTAAACGAACTTTAGAGAGAAATTTCAGAAGATTTAATGAATACTCCTTCAAAAAACAGTTTAAAATTTTCAACTGAACACAAGATAGCCATCATAAAAATATCACTTTTCTCCTGACCTTAAATAGTCATTATTTACTTAATTATAAATATTTTATATATAGTTTACAAATTTATTAAATTTTTTATATAATAAATTAATGCGATCAAATAAAGTAAAAATGGTTGATTCTTGCACTTTAGACACTCAGGAAATGTAAATACTAAAGTTTTCTTTTTGGTTAAACTTAAACATTTGCAAAACCAACATAGAAAGTTTCATTATAATTAAAAAGGATTTGCTGAAAATCCTCTTTTTTTGTTCATTTGATATGGAATTACCCATATTCACAAATGAAGGCTAGAAGAATATTAAATACACGGTTCACGTTCAGAAAAGGAAAAGTCCCACAAGATTAAGAGAAGGTTTTAGTCGGAGAAAGAAAATCCTCATTAAAAAATGGAAGATTATTAAATTGTTTTTAAATAAAATATAATCTTGTCATTTTAATAATTCTGAAATTCCCATTTTTTTTGTATTTTTCTTTATTTTTGGTTATTTATTTATTTTAAACTTTTTGCAATTTTTCTGTAATTTTATATCATCTTTAATCTATTTTTCTCAATTTTCTTATTTATTTCCATTTTTGATTAATCTCATTTGTCTTCATCTTTAATTATCTTTTTTAAGAAAAAATTACCTTTTCTTCACTGTCATCTTTTTTCTAATCGCTATTTTTTTGGTCAAAATAATATCTTTTTTCCTTTCTCCCATTTCTATCTCATTATAATTGCAGGAAAGGAATTTGCCTGTCAGGGGTTTCGTAATAAATTAATTATGCCCGGTATTTGTAATTTTTTATTTCTAAGTGTCAACCCTGGATTTTTAAAAAAATTATTTTTATTCGGTCACTTACGGTCTCGGCTTGCAAGTATCTGAATTATATATAATAATTTACTTATCGTTTTTTGAATTTAAAATAGTTTTAATTTTAAAATGGTACCTTATTGCAAAACGCGATTACCTTATTTCCCGTAACTGTAGTTTTTTTTACCGATTAGGATGATAGTTTATGTGAAATGTGTCGAAAAGGAACTAGAGGTTTAGATCGGTTGCTCCAGGAAAAGTCGTTTCAAGAGGATTTGATCAAATACATTGACGGTTTTTGTATGGCGATCCCTAGTATAGAGGAAAAGATTATGGTATGATTATTTTGTTGATTTAAAATAATATTAGTTTTGTCTCATATTTGTTTGTGGGTAATTATATACAACGTCAGTCGTTGATGATTTATGTTCTTATAAGTCGTGACCTTTTGTTTATCTATATTTTTAAAATAAAATATTCCTTCATCTAATAATATTTTATTTTTTATATATAAAATTAAGAATATATACGCTTTTAGCTAATAATAATTTTTATTATTCTTTTAATTAATTTTTTTACATATTTATTTTTAAATGCTAACAATAGCTATTATAATTTTTGAACCAGAGTTTCATAAACTGCTCAAGGTCAAAAATCATCAATAATTTTTCAAAATAAAAATTTATATTTGAGAATGATCAAACAGGATTTTTTAAAGAATTTCCCAAAATTTAAAATCTTTTATCGACTTTCAGGTTTACTTATATAAGTAAACCTGAAAGTCGTTCATTTTGTTGATTTACATTTTTTTTGTGAGACATCAAAAACACCTGTTCTTGATGATACTTTTAAGAATGAAAGATTAGTTAAAGGGTATGCTAATTGTTCAAATAACTATGTCTATAGTTTGTCTTCATCTAAAAATATGTTAAAAATATAGAAATCAGACTCATGGCGGTATCAAATTATTTTATAAATAACATAAAAACAAAATGTCATATGTCATTTTGCTTGATTTGAATTTAAAAATGGTGAATATTAAATTATTTATATATCAAAACATGTGTTACTTATCTTACTTAAAAACCTAAATATTTTAACACCCTCTATTTTATGTATTAATTATCAATTTAATTTTTTCTTATATTAGTGCAAAGAAGGTATGAAAAAAGTTATACCAGATATATTGAAAATGATTGACGGCATGCTTAAAGCATCCAATATTTGCGTTAAAGCACAGATTTGTACACCTCAGTTGATGTTTAATATGGGGAAAAAGGTTATTTCCGTTTTATTTTAATATGTTATCACCGAAATTTAAAAAAACGTTTACAATCCGGAAATGTAGAACTCATAAGATAAAAGTGTTTAAACCCTAGACTAAAAAGTTATTATTGAAAAAAATCAAAAGGATGGTTCTTTTTAACTTTCGTTTTTGTCGCATATAATTTGTTTAAGTCTCTTCATAAACTAAAATTCTCCATTTATAAAATTTTTTTAAATAAAAATATAATATCAAATAGCATTTTTAGAAATTTAGAATTGCTTTAATTTATTAGTGTGCCATTTTTACAAGTATAAGATAAATATTTTCTTAAGTTTTTTCACATATCCTGAGAAATGTTATATATTTAGGTTTCTACTGTACATATCAATTGATTGTACTTTTTGATTGACAAGTTAAGAGAAATTTTAAAAGAAGTGGTTCCAGCAGCTTAGATGCTGTTAAATCACTTAACCCAGGCTTTTAGCATAAATAATGGCCTTACTCTAAGTTGAGTGTTAACTTATAGATTGATGCGAGAAGTGGGGGTGATAAAAACTTTAATCATTGGAGTTAGGGATAAATGGATTATTGAGATATATTTTATTAGTTATCTTCTTCTCCGTTTTATGGCGATTTCCAGGTTTACCCGGGTAGGCCAGTTTTCCCTCTGATTTTTCTTTTCCATTTTTGACGGTCCTGAGCATCAATACTTGTAAGATTCAAGCTTCTCATATCCGCCGCTATCACATTTGTCCACGTCATCTTGGGTCTTCCTCTAGGTCTTGATCCTCCTACTTCCATCATTGTGCATCTCTTTACCCAGTCATCTCTTGTCATACGTTCCACATGCCCAAACCATCTTAGTCTATTTCGTCGCATTACCATACCAATCATTTCTATACCTAATCTTGCTCGCAATTCCTTGCTAGTTTTTCTCTCTCTCAGAGATACCCCACACATCCATCTAACCATCCTCATCTCTGTTCTTTCTAATTTGGCTTCGTGAATTGCTTTCATTGCCCATGTTTCACCGCCATAAACTAAACAAATCCTCACGCAGCTTACGTAAACTTTCCCCTTTAACTTCAGAGAAACTTTTTTATTTGTAAGAATAGATGACATCTCTCTGAACTTCTTCCAAGCTTGTCTGATCCTTGCAACAACAGCAGAATCTACACCACCATCTGCGTTTAGCATATCACCTAAATAACAAAACTTATCCACTTTTTCTAGGGTTAACCCATTGCCAATATCCAGACCACCATTTTTTAGGTTATCATTATTATGTATCCCTTTCATTCATGTTTTACAAATAAAGGTCATTCTTTCTAACATCAAACTGCCTTTTTTCCCACTACATCTTTTATGTACCCATTTCTGGCATCTGGTGCATTGGATAGAATTTCTAGCAACTCCTTTCCCACATACACCACAAGGCCACTTACCTGATTCTTCTATCTTTAGATTTTCCCCACCAATCATCACCTTTGTTTTTGATGCATTCATTTTCAGGCCCTTTGCTTCCATAGTCATCTTCCATTTACTAACTTTATCCCTCAATTCTCCCTCACTGTTTGCCATTAATACAAGGTCATCTGCATATAATATCTCCCAGGGAAGTCCTTCACGCATTTCTCTAGCCACCACATCCATTACTAAGATAAATAATAATGGACTCAGCACGGATCCTTGATGAAGTCCTACCTTCACCTCAAAGCTGTCACTATCACCATGATCCGTCCGTACTGCTGTTTGTGCTCCAACATACATTGCCATCACTGCGGTAACTAACCATTCCTCCACACCGGATTTTCTCAAGGCCCATCTTGTAATCTCACGCGGCACCCTATCAAATGCTTTCTCCAAATCAACAAACGCATAATAGAGTTTCTTTTCCTTCGCAAGATACTTCTCCTGAATTTGTCTCACCACAAAAATTGCATCTGTCGTGCCTTTTCCCGATGTAAAACCAAACTGCATTTCATCAATTTTGATTTGTTCCCTTATCCGCTTTTCTAACACTCTCTCAAAAACTTTCATTGCATGTTCCAAGAGTTTAATAGCTCTGTAAGACCCACAATCTAAAGGATCACCTTTCCCCTTGTATACTGGGATAATTATACTTCTTCGCCAGTCCTCGGGAATAGTACCTTCTGTGACAATCTGATTTGCTAAATTCATTAACCATTCAATCCCTAAATCATCAGAACCTTTAAACATCTCTGATACCACCATCGTTAAACCCGATGCCTTCCCTTTCTTCATCTTTTTCACTGCTCTCCTTATCTCGTCCTTGCCAAATTTACACCCTGGACCTTCTACCTTTGCACAACTAATATTATTATTCCATTCATTTTCTTCATTCAAAAGTCCTTTCATGTAAATCTTCCAGGTGTTCTTAATACCACTACTATCAATCGTCATTTTTCCTTCCATATTTTTCAAACACTTTACACCTATCACATCCTGCCTCTTTTTTGACATCTGTTTTGCCATTCTAACCATATTTCCAATTCCATCAGCGCATTTCATTTCTTTAGCAAACTCGTGTCTTTTTTCTTCTTGAGCCTTCGCTATTAATTTCTTAGCATTTCTTTTAGCCATCTTGTAAATATCATTATCACTATTTTCTTTGCTATTATACCATACTTTGAAACACCTCCGTTTCTCATCCACGGCTTTCGCTACCTCTGGGCTCCACCACCAAGTCTCCTTATGTCTAGGCGGCCCTTTTGTCCATCCACATACCTCCTCAGTTGTCATTACCCAAGCTTTCTTCATGGCTTCCCACTTGTCATTCACCCCAGATGCTTGTGCCACCTCCGCCTCCCTAATCGCCAATGCCATATTGAATTGATGTCTAGCATTCTCCTCCTTCAATTTCCAAACCTTCAGCCTTGGGACAAACTTTCTTTTAGTGACCCTGGCACCTTTAAGAGTGAGATCTCCTACAACTAGTCGATGCTGATTTATACATTCCTCTCCCGGTATCACTTTCACATTTTTTATTATACATCGATCACATCTCCTTAATAACAAGTAATCCACAACACTTTTGGTACTACCCGACTTATAAGTCACCAGCTTCTCTGATTCTTTCTTAAACATTGTATTACAAACAATCATATCCATAGCATCACTAAATTCTAAAATCCTCTCTCCTTCCAAATTTCTCATGCCATAACTGAACCCTCCATGTACTCCTTCAGAACCCTCACTACTCGCTCCCACGTGTCCATTCAGATCGCCAGCTAGGATAATCCCCTCTTCATTTGCCAGTCTCGATGTCACCCCCAATAGACTGTCCCAAAATACATCTTTCTCTTCTTCACTTCTTCCAACCTGAGGAACATATGCCGAGATCATATTATATAGCTTTCTACCAATAATCATCTTGATAACCATTATCTGGTTGTCTAGCCTTCTCACTTCGACTACTTTGTCTACCAATTTCTCCGCAACCAATACCCCAACTCCAGCCTTACCATCATTACCTCCTTGCCAAAAGAATTTATACTTTTCGCTAGTCTTGCCAATCATTCTGGTCCCATTTCCTTTCCATCTAGTCTCCTGTATGCAGCACACATCTATATGTCTTCTGTGCAATACATCGACGACTTCTCCCGCTCTTCCCGTCATACTCCCAACATTCCATGTCGCGACCCTAACTCGATCACCCGTAAACTGGTTTCTCCACTTTTTATTAGGTCGTTTATGGCCGTCATAGGTTTCATTTTCATGAATAGTGGTTCCACCAGGTTTCCCATCCTTCTTTTTGTCGTAGGCGGATGAGGAGGCCCACGGCTTTGGGCTGTACCCCGCCCATGCTTTGTTGTAACCATAGGGAAATTTTTGTAGCATGGTTTTTACAATCGGATGCCCTTCCTGACATCAACCTCTTTAAGTGGTTTTTACACCCCGTCGAGGAGACGGTGATCCTATTCTAGACCCAGATCACAGGGAACCTTTTAGACCTCCATTTGCCGCCAAAAGACGTTGCCACTCCCCCGCCACGATGAGGCTGAAGGTAGGATTTTGGGAGAGAGTTATCTTCTTCTCCGTTGGTGTTTTTTTAAAAATATATATTACTTTACGAGTATATATTTAATAATACATTTGTTTGTTAAATAAAAGGGAATAAATCGCACTAATCTATGTAACGATTGCAAAAAAGTTATTGATCAAGTCAGAGGGTTTATCTCCAAGACTCAGGTATAATTTTCTCAAAATATTTATTTTTTAAGATGATGCTAAAATCATTATAACATTTTTAAAAAATCATTTTATTGTTATTTTATTTTTCTTTGAATTGCAAAAGTAAGCATTGTTAAAAGATATAAAATTTAAAATTATTAATGAATGTTTAGAATTTTTTTAAAATAAGAATATATTTTCGAGATTAACAATTAAAGAAATAACATCTTCTTTATTCAAACGATGCACTTAACTTCCACGCTTTCCTTCTGAGAATATAATTTGTTAAAATTAATATGGTAGCTAGTAAAATTAATTAAAAAAAATTTTTTTTAATGATTTTATTATGAAAATTACAAAGGATTTTTTTTACAAAGATCAGAAAGGTGAGCATTCTTAAAAAAATCTTAAAATTTGAATTTTGAGGAGTTATAGAACTTATGTTTTATCTACATGTATATTCTATTTCTAGGATAATGTAATGGATAGTGCTAAGCATGTGTGTCAAGCATTCCCCGTTAAAGTTCAAGAAAAATGTTCTTCTATAGTCAGGAACTACATTCCAGCTGTTTATGAGTACATCAACATGTTGATAGTAAAATTAATATTTCATTTGCATTTTAAGTTATTTATATCTATGGTTTTTAAGGCTAGTTAAGGCATTTATGATATAATAAGTCATAACAAAATAGTCGCTTATACAATGTTTATCAAAATATCCCATTACTTTTGAATCTAATCTACCTATTTAAAATCCTAGGTTTTTTACCATCTAATCATTCATTTTTCCCCTTGCAAATTTCATTTACATTCCAAAAATACATGCTGTTCATCTTGCTCCTCTATTCCAATTCCTAGACATGCTATTAATGCTCATACATAAAGTTAATTCTTCAAAACAACTCTCAACTTCAAATTCTCATCTACTAGCTGGCTACATTTTTTAGCAAAGTATCTCTCGTTGTATCACATTTTATAAAATAATTTTCGACTTTATTCTATTACATTTAAAAATCATATCTAAAATTAATTTTTCGAGGTTTTTTTACAAAATAAAAATTTAAGTATGAATAACTCGATTTTAACTGAAGAAGCTTTAGCTTTGATCAGATGTAAAATATTCATTTTTAACAATTAATATATAAAACACAATAAGGACCCAGTACAGATGTGCCAAGCTTTTGGCATATGTTCGTCATCTGGCGATAATGTTAAACCCGTTAACGAAATGAAAATGAGCGATGCTATGGAATTAGCCAAGAGTTTTTTGATACAAGGAACCCCTCTTTTTAGTCCGTTCATTCATAAAGTGAACACGTTTGCCGAGAAGGAAGAAATCCAAAACAACGAAATTGTGTGGAAGGATTTGCTTAGATTTGCCAGAGTCGAATCTAACAGTGTGAAATCTGGCGAAGATTTTTATAAAGGTATTTAAAAAATATTTATGAAATTACTGCGTTTGTCTATTATGTATATAAAACCATGTAGGAACGTTGCACTAGCTTATCATTTATATACGAATATTTCTTTTATTTAAACAGGCAAAAAAGAAATATTTTGTTCAAATAAAAAGTATTTTAGGCGTTAAGTGAGTAATGAGGGGAAATTAATCACCTAACTTGACCTGATTCCTAGACAGCCTTAACCGATTTTTTTTTGGCTTTAGTTTCGACCTGCACTGAGCAAGATTTCACGCTTCCTTAGTGACGTCTTCTTTTATTCATAACAATAAGATTTTATTGTCGTTATTTATTCTTTATTGTAAGTTATTTTATTTTTTTAAAAAAATTAATATAATATACAATAGCTGTCAAAATAAGTGACTTGCCTGGTGGCTTAGAACCCAACTCAGTCGAGTGTAAAATATGTGAGCAAGTGGTGACCGTATTGCTGGAGAAGTTGGGAAATAACAGGACCAGGGTAAAATATGCTTTAAATTGTATACGATGGTTTTGTACAACATAATATAACATTTTTAAATAGGTAAAATATGCTTACTCTTTATTTTGCTATCTATATTATATAATTTATATTACATATCCTTTGATTAATAATGTATATTCATTTTAAATATATATTTTAAAATAAACACAAACACAGGAAAACATACGACATTGGCTCGACAAGATATGCTCAGTAATGCCATCTACTTTGGGCAAGGATTGCCGCGCATTTGTTGACATGTATTCTGAGACGCTTATGATATTGCTACAAAATAATATGAACTCGAGCCAGATATGCCAAGCCTTCGATTTTTGCCAAATTCCTAACCCCCCTCCCGTTCTTTCCGAAAATGCATCTTATCACATTTTAGATATGGATTCGCCTACTGTTTATGCAGCTCCTGGTAAATTATCCTTTTTTATAGGAAAAATATTCCATATGTATCCTTTAGGCATGGTTATTTATTATAAACTCGATTTACTGATATGTTGATATTTTTTTTAAATTTATTAAGAGATCTTATTTTTAGATCCAAATTTGTTTATTGTTGGGTATGGGAATTAAATACAATCATAGGGCTAGATTAATATATCATAATTATTACTAATTATCACCAGGATGAGAATGGGAACAGAAGTATAATTTTAATACCAACCAGAATTTAAAAATCTCTTAATATCAAATCATTTATCAAGGTATGAAAAATTTCGTAGGGTGTTTTATTTATTTCTTAATTGCAATCCTTATTTTAAAAAAATATATAATTATTACTCTGCGAATATTTTATCACAACTTTTTCATTTTAAAATCATTTTAATAAACAAAACGTGCTATTAATTTATGAAGTAATGCATATTTTAAAACTAACGAAAGTCTGTGATCGAGACCGAACCTAAGAAAAAACCTGAGCATGGACTGATATTAAATCAGACCAGCCAATTTTTTTTTGAAGGGCAGTTAGGTGCTTAAACAAGATTTTTGATCAAATTTTACCTTAAATGTTAAATATTTTTTTTGTTAAATATCTTTTATTAGTAAATCTTTTGTGATTTCTATCATATTTACAACTCAAAATATTCCATATATTAATATATCCCTACATATTTATATATCCAAATCTTTCATTTTATTATATTAATTATCTTACATATATATACCATTGTCATAATCATAATATTTATCATCCAAATATCACCTTATTAATAGCATACTAATCTTACAAAATGCAGACAAAGGAAAAATCAGGTGAAGTGAAGAATTTTATATAATCAATATCTATTTTTCTCGAAAATATATTAACAAAATGTCAATTACAAATCAGATTCAACAATTACTACACATTAAAAATCTTTCATAATAAAATCACAATTTTTTAAAAAAAAAAGAAGATTTTTTTGATCTTTATAATAATTTTATAATCCTCAAAGATTTTTTCCTCATAATTTTGGACGAAAAAAGATTTCTTTTGATAAAAGAACTAGATTACATGTGATTTCTTAACTCGATCTGAATGTAACAAACGACTTTTTTTGCAATTTTCTCTGAATAAGGACCATGAAATATTTTTTATTTTTTAAATTCATATCTTTTTTGGCCTGGACCGGGCTTTCTGGTCTATGATGAAAATAGGGCTGTGCCATCTACAAATTTTTAACCGATCCGATATTTACATTGATTTTATTTACCACATATCATTGTATCAAAGTTATAAATTATTAATATTTTTTACTTTAAAAAAACCAACTAACTTTTACGAATGATTAAGTGTTTTTTTATTTTTCATAAGTTAATATTCTCATTTAAAATATTTGTATTGTTTATGAGTGAATAAAGTGTTGTTAAAAACTATAGTCAATTTTAAAAAAGGCCAAATCAAAATTTTAGCCAAAATATTATTGCCTATGCCTCGAAATTTGGCCAATAGAAGTCCAAACCTTTCAGATATCTGGGAAAATCAATAAGCATGGGTAATTTATTCTTGGCTAAAATTTTAAGTTAATCGTTTTTAAAAATTGAGCCGTTTAGTAACACTAACTGAATGTGACTCGTTAGATGTTTAAAATCCTTTTCTTTTTGCAGATAATGTAACAAAAAATAGTGTAAGATTTTAAACCATTTTTATTAACAACAAATAAATTGTATAGTAGTTCCTTTCATTAATTTATTATTATGAAAAAGTTTATAAAATAAAAAAATTATATGATTATATATACAATTATAAAATAACTAAAAACAATATAAAAAATTTGAAATCGGGTTTTTAAAAAAGATCAGCTCGATCCGATATTAAATATTGTCACAGCCCTAGATGAAAATATTACAAAATGATATCTATATTAAAAAAGAAGTGATCACTCAAGTGATCACTTTATAAAGGTTTCACTTTATTTTAGAAATTCGGGATCAGGGAGTTTTATAATATTGAATGTCGATTAGTCTAGTATTTCAGTTCCTTTTCGAGATTTATCCATATTTCCTTTATTTTTCAATTTTTTTTAATATAAATAGTCCGAAATTTTGATTATTGCCCTGTTTGTCACATAGCTGTAGCTTGGTTATCTCAAAAGATTGGTAAAAATTCCACCGATGAACAGATTATGGAAATGGCCAAAAGGTTTTGCTCAGAACTACCTGGAAAATGGAACAAAGAGGTAATTTTTTGTAATTTAAAAAAAATTATAATTGTCTTTATTAATAAAGCATTCTTAAAAAAAATATAAGAATTTTAACAATCAATTTTGGCTAATTTGGTAATTTCTTAATATTAAATATTTATAAAATGTGAATTCGAATATTTTAAAGTTGAAATTAAATATATAATGAAATTAGGATCTTTCCAACTATTTCAATATCATATAAAGAATATATTTAAAAATATTTAATCATCATCAGCCAACAAATCGAATAATAAATAATATAATCCAAGAATATATGAATAATAAAATAAATCAATAGTAGGTGTAATCAAACACCAGAATTAATACATAGGTTATTGCATTTACATTAATTTTATATTTAAGCCAATAGTTATATCAACTAACGGCAATTTTTCACAGTCTACATATTTTTTTTTAAAAACTTTATCACGAAAAATTTTTAACATAACAAAGAAAATCGCGAATCCTTATTTCTTAAACAAAAACTCCAACTAAAAATTTTTAAACACAATTATACTTGTTTTTTAGGTACATATTCATTATAAAATTAAAATCTTTTTATAAGCCTTCGATATTTATAATATATATATATTTGTTTTTATTTAGTAATTTTACATATTTTTATACTTGTTTTAATATTTTAGTGTTTCATTTTTTTAAATAAATAAAAAGTGTCAAATTTAAAAAAATAATAATATAAACATTTGGCAATTCACTCCTCTTCCAGTAATACCTCACATCAATCAAAGCTAACCTATGATAAATCGCATACACCAATATCAGAATTAGAGATTGCCGGACTCGGATTTAATTTTTTTAAAAAATCGGGTTTGGGCCGGGTGGGGTATAATATTTTTAAAAAAATTCGCGTGGGGTCAGACCTTGGAAATTTTTTAAAATATATTTAGATTTATTTATCAATTTAATATTGAATTTTTTATGTAAAATAAAAATATTTGATTTTATTTATAAAACTAGAAACCATATAACATATGTCTTTTATTTTGAGTAATTATAAGAATTAATTTCTATATTTAAATAAAATCGGGCTGGGCCGGGCTTGAAAAATTAGGCCCGAGGCAGATCACTAATCAGAATATTACATGCATTAATATTTATCAAACTGGACCAGGCCATATTTTAATTTTTTTAAATATGCGTGGGCAGTGCTTAAAATTTTTAAAGAAATTACCAGAGTTTAAAGATATTTTTGAAATGGATCTAGATACCAATGCAATTTTTATCATACTTATATAAGGGTTTGTCTTTGTTCTCGAACAAAAACGAGAGCACAAAATATCTAAAATAATATAATAAAATGGCAATACCCCTAATTTTATCATTCTAACGAGCAAATTCTCCTTTATACCGAGCTTTTATTTAAAAATAATCTTTACATTAAACTTATAATTTATTCATATAAGTCAGGGGAAGGGGTATCTATAAAATTATTTTAAAAATTCTAAATAAATTTATTTCCTTAAAGTAATTTATACATCAATGGTATTGTTTTTATGACTGTGCCGATATTTAATATCGGATCTGCACCGATATTTAATATCGGATCTGCACCGATATTTAGTGTTTTCGAAAAATATCGGTTCATGCCTATTTTTTATAAAAAACCGATCTGAGCCAATATTTTTAATTGTTTTTGATTAGGCTATTTTTTTGGGATGTCCTTTTCTTTGGTCTACTTTTAATTTAATAATCCAACAAACAAAAATAAATATTCCAAAAATATATTTTATTATCTATTATTAAAAAAATTTACAAATATGCTGGTAAAATTTTTACATAATTGGAGTACTCTAAAATATAATAACAAAGATTCTACGCAGAATAGTTTTCACCAATAAATGTTTTTATATTGAAAATAAAATAAATATGTTAGTATATTTTAAATAATTTGCATGTAAATTTAATATTTATATGTTTAAAAATGAAAAAAATTAATAATTTTAACAAAAATGCGTTATTTTATATGAAGCACAATTGAAATAAATATTCATTTTTATTTAAAAATCATAATGACTAAAATAACCCGTGGCTGTCTCATGTTAAAAAAATTTTTACTTATAGATATTATAAATGAATAATAAAATATTAAATTTATAGAAATTCGAAAGCGAAACACTTGGAGTGTACAGGTTCAAAATTTATAACTTAAATTTAAACCGCAAAATTATTACTTTATAAAAATCAGAGATCTGCAGGCCCGGCCCTAAACCCGGCCTGGGACGGGCCGTATTTTAAATTTTTTAAATATACCCAGGCCGGGCCTAAAATTTTTTTTTAAAATATATCCAGGCCGGCAGGGATGCGAGCCCGACAAAATTTTTGCCCGGGTTCGGTTCGGGGTATAAAAAAAAGGTGGGTTCGGTTCGGGTTCGGTTCAGGGAAATATTTTTGAACCCGGGTTTGGTTCGGTTCGGGTTCAAGAATTTTTGAGTTGATAAAAAAAATTCTATATTTAAATCATAATAAAAAACTAGACATAAATTTGATATAAAAAATAAATTTTTTATTTTATTTATAAGCAAATATAGTTAAAAATACAAAGCATATAGTCATGTATCAATTTTAAAAATTTTATTTAGACGTATTAGCATAATATCTTCCAAGAGTTGTTCACTCATCCTCGATCTATGTGGTGAAAAAATGAATTTCAAATGTGAAAAAGATCTTTCAACGCTAACCTATGTTAAATGTATTTATATGTGAAAATATGAAAAATTAACTTGGGTTGCAGGAACAGCAAATAAGATTTTAGATATAATATATAATTCAGGGTGTTCCAGCTTAGCAGACTCCCAAAAATGCAAAATATTTTCCTTCTTATCTAATCTTTTATAATCGCGAAATCCAGTAATTATTGTTCCAATACTTTTCTCAGCAATCGTTGGCCCTCTTTTACGTATTTTCTCCTGCCTTTCTTTAAGTTGTATCAATTTCTCTAAATCATCTTCTTGTTCAATAACTTCATCGGAACTAATATCATCAGATAAAATCGGCGTTGTTAATCTTTTAATTCGTCTCCATAAATTGACAAGATGTTTTTTCGCACAAATCTTATCATCATCACTAAGTAATACCTGTAATATTTAAGGATTTATATTGTTTAAATTTAAATATTTCATAAAATAACAATTTTAATATAAATCTAAAATAATTAATTTACTAAGCTTTTAATTAACCTTGTATCTTGGGTCCAGGTATATGGCAGCTAAGAGAATTTCGTTCTTTATAACCCTTTCTTCTCTGTTCTTAAGACAAGAATATAGTAATTGAGCAAAATGGTTTGGATTTTTTTCCAGTTCGATGCAGCATCTTAACCATGCTGCATAAAAATTTGTCAATGTTAACTGTTCAGATTGGAATTGTTTGGTTGCGATTTTTAGCGGTTTTAAAATTTCAACAATCGTTATTATCTCTTTCCAATCTTCAGTCAATAAATAATCAGATTGCTCTGTAAAAAAATCTTCGATATTGGGTTTTAGTAAAATCAGCCTTTCTAACATATCATGGGTTGAATGCCATCTGTGGCAATCTAACACAGGCTTAGGGAGTTTCATATTTTTTAATAACTTTTGGTAAGTGGGATGTCTTGGTTTTAAATTTAGGCTCCTAGCTTTTGCAATGGTTTCCACAATAGGTGATAATTTTATAGCATCTTGAAGTGCCAGCTGAAGTGTGTGAGCTGCACACCATACACTATAAATTGGATAGGATATAATAGTTGATAAAAAAGTATTTTGTATATCATCAATATCATATTTATATACATTTACATCCATATTTTCCTCATCTGCTGATTCACTCCTTATATCATAATCAGTTTCAGGTTGCAGGAGCTTTATAGCTCTTAAAAAATTACAACCATTATCAGAAGTAATTGTGTATATTTGTTGAATATTAATTTTAAATTTTAGTAAAGTTTTTAATATATTCTCTTTTATATATTCTCCTGTACATCTCTCTTTCAGCTCTACAATTCCAAGAGTCCTCAAATTTATAATGGACTTTGATATAAATTGAATATTTACACCAAGAATTGACCTATCTAGTCGTTGAACTGCATCAACTTTTAAACTTATTAATTTTCCTTCTACCTCTCTCGATATTTTGTCTCTAATTGATTGGGCTGTTTTATTAATAGTTCTGGATAAATTTTCTTTGTTTATAACTAAATTGAGCCCAGATAGGAGTGGATTTATAATTCTTTGAAATCCCGAATCTTCAATAATTGATAAAGGCCGGCCATTTACAGTAACAAGTTCTAGTATAGAACTCATCAAATCATTAGATGATATATTTATACTTATATGCTTTTTTGGAAAAAAGGTTTCTATATTAATTTTAGGTTTTTTTGCCAATAACTATTCCTGATATTTGGTTTTTTCATTTAAATAATTTAAATATTCATTGTTGTGATTTCTTTCCAGGTGTCTTTCTAAATTTGACAAGTGATTACCAGACATTTTTACTTTGCAATATGAACATATTGATTTTTTTTCTATTGTATTAAGGGTAAAATGCTTATCAAATATGACTTTATCTTTAATCTATAAAAAGAGAACAATTTTTTTAAATAGCAATGATTTCAGAATTAAAAAAGAGATATTTATAAATTTAATTTCATTTATAATATGCACTTCATTAATATCTTGTAAAAATTAAACTGAACCAAAAATAAATGATTAGCATATATAAATTTTAAAATCATTTTAATAAGTTCACAAAAACTGTCCTACATTTAACAATTTTTAAGTTAGATGTTTAGAATTTTTTAAATTAACAATATAATAATTTTTACTTTGATTTGTTAACCATTTTCTTCTAATTAATAATCTTTAAGAATAATAAGATAAAAATTTAAAAATAAATGGCGTAAATTAATTCAATTGTTTAAAATTTTTTAACACTCCAATAGGAATCGAGAATAAATTTAAAAATGGCATAAATGAATTAAGTTGTTTAAAAATTATTAAGACTTCATTTAATTGAAAATATAATATACATATATTAATATATGATTTTAAATAATACACTGAACCCGATTGAACCCGGGTTCAAATAAAAATCTTGGGTTTGGTTCGGGGTTTTGAAAATTTTATAAATGGGGTTCAGGTTCGGTTCGGGTTCAGAGTTTTTTCTAAAAACCCGGGTTCACTTCTCCGGGTTCGGGTTCGGTTCGAATCCCTGTAGGCCGGGCCTAAGATTGTTAAACCCAGGCCGGGCCTTTATATTTTTTATGAAATTTTTTACATTACGAGTTAATGGTTATAAGATTATATTATAGTTATGATTAATATAATATTGGGTGATAGTTAACACTACCTAACACCCACAGATCGATCTAATTATTAATTTCCTGCAAATTTATTCAAAGTATTAATATATTTTTTTATAATTCATATCTAAATTTTTACAACATAATTTACCAAAACAATCAAATAAAGGAATATCTTAAATAAGCCCCAATATTCAAGTATTATTAATATATTTTTTTATAATTCATATCTAAATAAGCCCCAATATTCAAGTATTATTAATATATTTTTTTATAATTCATATCTAAAATTTTAGAATATATTTTACCAAAACAATCAAATAAAGGAATATCACTTCTTGAAGTTTGTAATACCTTTCAAAGCGAAAAAGGAGAAATAAAATTGATTTTACTTAATATAAAGCATTTTTTAATTGAAAAATTTGTTTTACACAAGTATCATTTTATTTCTCTTTTTCTCTGTCCCAAATTCAAGCAATTACGTATGTTGTCAGGGACAGATCGCAAGATGACGGAAAACTATATAAAAGATTATATTAAATTACAAGAGGCTCAGGAAGTAAATGAAATACCATCGACCAGTCAAATTACGACTGTTGTTAAACAAACTGAATCGTTTTATGAATGGGGCGATGGTAATTCTGGTAATATGTCAATACCCGATGATGAATATTATAATTACCTAAATAAAAAAATAGATGAAACATTTAAGGTGGATAATTTGTTAGAGTGGTGGGCGGCTCATCAAAGCGAATTTACAATTTTAGCAAAATTGATAAAACGGGTATTGGCAATTCCTGCTTCAAGTGCAAGCTGTGAGCCGAATTTTTCCACTACTGGGAGAATTCTTAAAGAAAGAAGAAGTAATATTCAACCTGAAAAGGTAGATATGCTTCTCTTTCTTCATGATAATTTCTGAATTTTTAATATCTTTCTTGAGTATAGGGTTTCGTCAATCATGCAGGTTTTTTACTTTGCAAACTGTCAAATATTTATTGCATTTATTATATTTACCTTGAGTCATGAAAGTTTTTAATCCAACATTTTTCATTATTTTTTTTTACAATATTATATAATACAATTATCTTCTTTTGTTAAAAATTTATATTATAAAATAAATTATATTAATATTGTGCAATTAGATTATATTTTCAAAATACTATTTATTATACATGCATTTTTTTAAATAGCGATTTATTTTTATTTTATAAATTAAATAGTAAATTAAATACAATATATTATATTCTCAAAATATTTTCCATTTTTATAAATTAAATATTAGTTTTATTTTTTTTAAATGCAATATAAAATATATTATATGCTCAAAATATTATTACCATTTTTATGAATATTAGTTTTATTTTTATAAATGCAATATAAAATATAATATAGCTCAAAATATCCATTTTTATAAATAACAGTTTTATAATTTCAATATAATATTCTCAAAATATTAGCTTTTTACATGTATTTTTTTAAATAATAAGCGATAATACTCGCTGAAAAATATGGTAAAATACCTCATAGGTGAATTTTTGTATATAACAGATCGAATATAATTTTAAAAAATTCCGAGCCGGCCCTGTAATTTTTAAATCCTGGCCGGGCCGTAAAAAATTTTTTAAAAAAATATCCGGGCCGGGCCTAAAAAATTTAAAACCGGGCCGGGCCGTGCAAATGGTGCCTCTGCAGGTCTCTGATAAAAATGATTATTTAATAAAAGGTTTTTAGTTAGAAAATGAAATAAAATTTTATTTTTAGCATCAATATCTTTTAACTTATATCAATTTTTTAAATCGTACTTTTCGAAAAAAGTTATTTTTGGCACTTTTGATTGACCATTGATATCTCATACTGTTAGTGCTTGGAGGAAAGGAAAATAATTCTATATATCCACGAAATAAATATCCTTAAATAAAATGTTCAAAAATTTTAAGAATATCAATTCCGGGGAATTATTTTATAAGAATTATTATTGGGTATATTCCGCTTACCTACTTGGAGGCTAAGATTTTGAATTCGATGCTTTCTAATGATGTTCTCTCAGTATCCATAATTTTATCAAAATTAAAAAGGTCGGGCAGATAAGATATTGGAATTACCTTGAACCCTGAATTTCAAAAAAGGTTTCAAAGGGCTCAAGTTCACAGCCCTGGTACACATAGAGGTGAATTAAGGAAGAATAAATTTTTAATGTTATTTGTGTGAGAAAGAAGGATTCTGGAGAGAAGAAAGGGGAAATAAATGGTCGAAATGCATGCAGGGAAAAGGGGGATATGAATTAAAATATGAAAAATAGACTTCGCTTTCCCAGCAGAATAGCATTTCTTTGCTACTGCTCATGGGAAAAGTGCTTACGATGGAATAGGGGAAACTGTGAAAAGCTTAGCTGCACGGGCCAGTTTACAACGACCTTATGAAAATAAAATAAAATTTTGCGATTTCTTCAAATTCGCTGAGGAAAATATAAAAATTAATCATTTTCTTATACATACCAAGAGGAAAAAGAATTTTTAAAGGATCGGTTTTATAAAGCTTTTTCCATTCCTGGAACTCAAAAAATTACGCAGTTTATCCCGTTAGCTTATCACAAATAATTACGAAAAAATATTCCAGTACTGTTCAACCACACAACAAAAAGTTCAAAATCGAATAGGTGAGATATCAACCAATGATATAAAGGGGTATGTAACATGCTTTTATTATAAATATTTTAGCGATTATTAGTGCTGAGAGGTAAAATCCTTCTATACCTGATATTTTTATTCTTCTGGAAAAATTATATTCTAACTGTCGTCAACGACCACTACAGGAAAAACTTATAATTTAACTCTTGAAGAATCCGAAATGATCATATACAAATTAAATTTAAGGAAATCAATATAACTAAGCTTCTATACTATAAGTAATTTTACTATGAATTCATCCAATAAATATTGTCAAATAAAAAAAAAATCATCTGTCATATTTTGCAAAAATGAGGCTTTTAGCTACTTTAAATTACTTGCGCCATCTAGCGATAATTCTATTTTTGTGACAAACTATTTTATTTAACTAATATTATATTATGGAATATAAAAAAATTTAGATTGACTTATATTTTCAAAAATTAAATATTAACGCTATCTAGCGGTATTTTTATTTTAAACATAACCTTTTTTAACTCTGAAAATTATTATATGAACAGTTCTTGGTACTTTTTTTGAAAATATCAGAAATTTAAAAGAAAAAAAATTTATACTTAAGAGTTTACTTAGGGCTATAATATGAGCCATTATAAATAAACATAATGCATCTAATATTAAAGTTATCCCAATTTTAAAAATCGAAAAATGATCAAGAAGAGCCACTTTGGGACCCTGTATCTCCGGTTCTAGTGGGACTAATATTTTGAATTCGTCAATCACAACACTTCACTAACTTATATACCTCGAAATCTGAGATGGTCGGGTTATAAAGTGTTGGATTTGATATGAAATGACCCATATGCGACCCGGCCGAAGATCGTGCAAATGCGGGGTTGGGAAGGCCCTTCCTCCAAAAAATTACCTCCCTCGAGTAACCTCTGGCTACATGGCTGATTATTTATATTATTGTTTTTATGTAATTGCGAGAAACATGTATTCATGTATTTGATAAGCCTATTATTGATTCGTTTTATTAATTTATTTTATTGTTCATTCATTCATTACTATAATGTTGTTTAATCCTTCTCTTTATTTTGCTCAATATTCTATATATAGCTAAATAAGCATTTCATCATTATGTGCATCTGACAAAAATTTCTTATTTTTTTCCAAAATTAATATCCCTTTTTTTACCTTCAAATTATTAAAAATGATTATTTTATTTGATATATATTTTTAAATAATAATCAGTGCTTAGATTATTTAGACATGTACGGAGTTCAGGCACTTAAGCTAATCAGTGAATACATGGATCCGGAAGTGGTTTGCCAGGTTTTCTATATTCTGTTAAAATAAAGAAAAATAAAATTGAGTTGTTTTTTATTAAAAACTTTGATTGGATTGGTAGCCTTTGCTATTTTGAACCATCGTTTTTCCATTTAAGTGAGTGACAAATTTCTACTTGATTTTTTGTGAGAAAATAAAATAAATATGTTTTAAGACAGTTTTTATGCATATTCTAAATCCGCTGTCAGTTTTTTTCTAGCACGTCAGGTTTTTTATTTATTTTAGGTTAAAGTGGCCAAAAAGGTCATTTTTAGCACTTTTTGAAGGTTTATAACTTCGGATATATATATTAAATAATCATTAGTTACAGAGTTTATACTAAATTATTTTAATTGTTGGTTTTTCAATAGAATATTCAATATTCAAATCTTTATATTTACAGCAATTGGGAATGTGCCAGAGCAAAAGAATCGATATATTATATACGCAAGCTGATATAGACAATCAAAACAAGATGGCTAAATTTCATTTATCGAGTCAGAAATCAGAAACAAAGAGGCAATTGGCGGGCTCTAATGTATGCACTAGGGGACCTGGTTACTGGTGTCAAAACATGCAGACCGCTAAAGAATGTGACGTAAGTTCTAAATACCTATGTTTTAGCAATTAATATATTTTCTTTAAAATCCTTTCTAACAATAAACTTATGTTTTATTTACTCAATAGAAATTTTACTGTATACTATGTTGTAAGGTTTTAACAAATCTGTATTTTTAACAAATAGTTACAAATATTAGACAATTTTGCTACAAACTTTTGAGTAACCCTTAATTTATATTAATTATCTTATATTTAGATTTTTCATATAAATTTTTAAAATTCGTTTGCTAAATTGAATGAAATATACACGGATATGCTATATATGTGATAAAGTGAGATGAAAGCGGAGTTTTTTTTAAATTAAAAGGCGTGCGTTATAAATAACACTGTGTGACAAGAAAAATGGGAGAAGAAAATAAAAACAAGTTTTGGTGCAGAATTTGACGCTGAGTTCGAATCCTTTTTTCAAATTTTCCCTACACGTCAAGTTTTAAAAATATTACCGTATAAAGACAACTTTTCGAAATCTCAAAAATGGTATAATTTAGGTCTTTATACGGATATATTTTAAAAAGTATCGAATAAAAATCCCTGAAAATTGGTGATAGTGTTAAACTTATATTTCTTTATAAATTTACTAATTTTTATAATTTTTTATCGATTGGTTTTTGAGAAAAATGGTAAAGAATTTCGTTTTTGGGGGTCTTAAGTTTTCAATTTAAATTACTATCAAAATTATTAACTTTAGAAGATAAATTTTATATAATTTTGCTTCAAATATTCTCAAGATTATACATTAATTCTAATTATGTGTCAAAAGTACTTTATGCCATGAAAATTCAACCAAAATCTATAAATTAAAAAAGTCCGTATAGATATTTTCTAACTTTTTAATTTGTACACTTTTATTGAATTTTCTCTGCATAAAGCATTTTTAAAGCAAAATTAAGGTAATATTTATCTTTTTTAGTTGTATTTAGTAATATTTTATGCATTTATGATCAATTTATACCAAAATTAGATATTTGTACACACTTTTTTAATTTGTACTCTTTTTGAATTGAGCATTTTTGAAGCAAAATTCATTTAAAATGCAATAATTGGTAATTTTTTCATATTTTTTATTAATATTAATCTTTTTTAGATGTATTTAAGAATATTTGTTTTTTTAATCAATTTATATCAAAATATATGATTTTCCAATGGAGTACCTTGAACCCGTAGTATGGGCAATAAATAATAATGCCAAATAACAAGTAGGAAGAAAGGAGAAGAATTATTTTTTTTTGCGCTTAATTTTACATAAACATTTAATTTCTTTCATTAATTTTTTTTTAAATTGGATTTTAAATATTATTCAAATTCCCTCCTTATATAATATTCTATAAAAAATTAATGCCGAGGTCCCCTTGTTTAAAGTGTGTCTCTAAATTTTATATTGCCCGCACAAAAATGTCCAATTTCTCCAATCATTCAAAGGATTTATGAAATTTATTACAATATTCCACTCTACGATTTGGATAAACCATTTGCCCCTAATTACATATGTAAAACATGTTATAATTCTTTTAATTCATGGGTAAATGGAAAACGGTCATTCAAAACCTGCATTTTGGCACGTAGCAGAAATCATTCGTGGGATTGTTATTTTTTACATTTGGGTTTAACAAAAAAAATAAGAAGAAAATTCGTTATCCTGAAATTTCGTAGGTTGTTTATCCGGTAAAATATAATAAATAAATATATTAAATGTAAGCTATATTAAAAAAGATTTTATAAATAAAGGTAAATTTAAAAAATATAGGTTGTTTAAAAATTGAGTAAGGATTTTATAAAAAAAATGTATAATAATAATAAGGAAGGTTTGCTGCAAAAATTAAGATATTTTTTTAGTTGTAGGGATCATTAGAACCGAAGTTATAAACCTTCAAAAAGTGCTAAAGATGATCTTTTTGGCCACTTTAACCTAAAATAAATAAAAAACCTGACGTGCTAGGAAAAAACTGACAGCGGATTTAGAATATGCATAAAAACTGTCTTAAAACATGTTTATTTTATTTTCTCACAAAAAATCAAGTCGAAATTTGTCACACAGTGTAATTAAAGAAAGTTTTAAATTTGCTTAAAAGCCAGGTTTATGAAGCATAAATCCTGATTTTATATATATTAATATATCCCGGAGGATACCATTTTGATCCTAACTGATTCGATTGAATGGTGCTAATGTGGGTAAACCATCTCTACTCGATCTGGATGCAGCCAACTACTTTAAATGGATACTCGATCTGTACTAGTCCGTGTTAATCTCCATTAACTGTAGATATAGTTTTATAATAATAGGCAGTTAATATATTAATTTATAAGCTAAGGTCATGCCAATGCGGTTCGTTTAGTGGTCATTATAATATATTATATATGTAGCTGGTACTTTAAAATATTTGAATTCTTCAATATTATCACAACTACTATACACACGGTAATATTTTAATGTGCATATGCTTGAAATAATAAAATTTCTGGAAAAAATGAAATTTTGTAGCATTCAATTTTTGGCTTGTTATCTTTAAACGTTATGTGCTATAACTCTTTGGTATAGCCTTAGAATGAAGGAATGATACCTTATTTCCTTTTTTACTTTATTTATAAATATTTAATTTTATATTATACTCTATAATATATTTTTTTAAGGCTATCAAATATTGTCAAGAGCGTGGTTGGTCTACGGAGTAGTGTACGAGAAAAAAAATATTCATTCACTTTTTTATCAAATTTTCGCCAATTTAGTCTTTTATTTAAAACTATTTAATAATTATATTAATAAATCCCTTTCTTAATTTTTTTTTAAATAAAAAAAATATAATAATTTATAACACCAATTTTGAGAAATGGTTACATTTATCATATTTTTATATTTAATACACATTAAAAAAAAATATATAATTTAATAATAATATATAGTTTTTTTTACTTATAAATTATAATGTTAACCTTACTTTTTATAGTTTTTAAAATTATATTTATCAAGTTTTTGGCATTTATTTATTTTTTACAAAATAAATATTTCAAATCGTTCACTTCAATTATTATATATTAATCAAAGCCATCTAAATAAGAATTTTTTTTCAATCTCATATTAATTTTTAAATATAAATTATAGGTATATATATTCATTTTTAAATTTTAAGATCAATAAAGGATAAGATAATATAATATAACCAACAAGGCAACTGATTTATATTTTTTATTTTTACAAAAATAATCCCCGACAGCTAATCTTTTATTTCACAAAATCTGAGTCAGGTTTAAACTAGATTCGAAACCCTTTTTGTTCAGGTTTCTAAAACCTTTGATCAAATCAATATTATAATTTTTCATGTCTTTACTATTGCTCCTAATTATCATATAAATGAAAGCTAACCTTAAAGTTTTGATTTATCTCAAAGATGAAAAAGATTGAGTGACTTGATGTTAGGCTTACCCAAATTTAAAAGATGTCCTCGAACTATAACATGTCCTCATTATAAGCATCCGTGAAGAGATTTTTTAAGATTTGCCAACAGTTAAAATACATATAATCCAAAAATTATGAATTTTAAAAAAGTAAAAATAAGAGATATTATTATAATTTTAAGAATTAAGATTATGCATTTTTTTTAATGTTAATTCTCTAATTATTATAAAAATTAATATTGTATAATAAAATTTTTGAATTTCTATAATGTTGTTATCAAGTTAGTGTTGAAAGGTATATTTCGACACTCAAATAATTGGTATAATTAGTGTTGTTAAAAAGTCGAGTTCTTACGACTTGCGACTCGAGTCGTAGTCGTAAAAAACGGCTCCGACTCAAGCCGATCAAAGAGCCGAATGAGCCGACTCACTTAGTAGGCTCGCTTAGTCGGCTCGTTGGGTCTGCTCAATTTTTTTGTTTTTTTATAAAATCTGGTAAATTGCTAAATTTTGGGGAAATGATTAATGTGAACAAAATTATAATAAGAATATGTTGTTTTAGTTTTTCGTATTTTTTTGGCATAAATGGGTTAAAATAAGTATTGCTAAGGCTAACATGTTTAAATAAAATTTTAGTGAAAATGTACCCTTGATAAGTGACAATTGTCATAATCGTTGTTTTTAAAGTTTTTCGAATTTTTTTGATGTAAATGGGCTAAAATAAGCATTGCTAACATGTTTAAATGAAATTTTAGTGAAAATGTACCCTTGATAAGTAACAATTGTCATAATCGTTGTTTTTAAAGTTTTTTGTATTTTTTTGATGTAAATGGGCTAAAATAAGCATTGCTAACATGTTTAAATAAAATTTTAGTGAAAATGTACCCTTGATAAGTGACAATTGTCATAATCGTTGTTTTTAAAGTTTTTTGTATTTTTTTGATGTAAATGGGCTAAAATAAGCATTGCTAACATGTTTAAATGAAATTTTAGTGAAAATGTACCCTTGATAAGTGACAATTGTCATAATCGTTGTTTTTAAAGTTTTTCGAATTTTTTTGATGTAAATGGGCTAAAATAAGCATTGCTAACATGTTTAAATGAAATTTTAGTGAAAATGTACCTAGATACAAGGTTTCCCATTCTAAATAAGAAAATCATAATATTTTGTTAATTTTTGTCAATTTTTCTTTAACTTTTATTTATTTTAGTTATTCCTTTTTAATTTTTTCTAAATTTTTGCGATTTCATAACGTTTTTTTTCTTACTGTATCTTTTCTCAATTTATTTCTAACCTTTTGTGATTTTCTTTACTTTTATTTTTCATACTATATCTTCTCTCAATTTATTTTTCTTCAATTTATAAATTTAGGTCTATTTTTTTAACAATTTACGTTTTTTTTCATCATAGATACAGATATAATATTCTTTATATGATTTATACATTTTAATCTTTTGTATATATTTTAACCTTTTCAATCTGGTCATTTTTAATCTTTATTTTTTTGAGCATTTATCTATTTTTTTTTCTCATTTTTGATAATTATTTTTTGAAATTATATTTAATGTTTTTGGCAGACAATATAACAATTGCTAAATTATAAATTAATCGTTTGGTTTACCTTAACTGTAATACCAAACGATATTTAAATTAATAAAATATAATCATTTTTAAATTCTTATTTTTAAAATTATCAAAAATGAGAAGAAAAAAATTGAGAAATGCTCAAAAAAATAAGGATTAAAAATGACCAGATTGAAAAGGTTAAAATATATACAAAAGATTAAAATGTATAAATCATATAAAGAATATTATATCTGTATCTATGATGAAAAAAAACGTAAATTGTTAAAAAAATAGACCTAAATTTATAAATTGAAGAAAAATAAATTGAGAGAAGATATAGTATGAAAAATAAAAGTAAAGAAAATCACAAAAGGTATGAAATAAATTGAGAAAAGATACAGTAAAAAAAAACGTTATGAAATCGCAAAAATTTAGAAAAAATTAAAAAGGAATAACTAAAATAAATAAAAGTTAAAGAAAAATTGACAAAAATTAAAAAAATATTATGATTTTCTTATTTAGAATGGGAAACCTTGTATCTAGGTACATTTTCACTAAAATTTCATTTAAACATGTTAGCAATGCTTATTTTAGCCCATTTACATCAAAAAAATTCGAAAAACTTTAAAAACAACGATTATGACAATTGTCACTTATCAAGGGTACATTTTCACTAAAATTTCATTTAAACATGTTAGCAATGCTTATTTTAGCCCATTTACATCAAAAAAATACAAAAAACTTTAAAAACAACGATTATGACAATTGTCACTTATCAAGGGTACATTTTCACTAAAATTTTATTTAAACATGTTAGCAATGCTTATTTTAGCCCATTTACATCAAAAAAATACAAAAAACTTTAAAAACAACGATTATGACAATTGTTACTTATCAAGGGTACATTTTCACTAAAATTTCATTTAAACATGTTAGCAATGCTTATTTTAGCCCATTTACATCAAAAAATTCGAAAAACTTTAAAAACAACGATTATGACAATTGTCACTTATCAAGGGTACATTTTCACTAAAATTTCATTTAAACATGTTAGCAATGCTTATTTTAGCCCATTTACATCAAAAAAATACAAAAAACTTTAAAAACAACGATTATGACAATTGTCACTTATCAAGGGTACATTTTCACTAAAATTTCATTTAAACATGTTAGCAATGCTTATTTTAGCCCATTTACATCAAAAAAGTTCGAAAAACTTTAAAAACAACGATTATGACAATTGTCACTTATCTAGGGTACATCTTCACTAAAATTTCATTTAAACATGTTAGCAATGCTTATTTTAGCCCATTTACATCAAAAAAATTCGAAAAACTTTAAAAACAACGATTATGACAATTGTCACTTATCAAGGGTATATTTTCACTAAAATTTCATTTAAACATGTTAGCAATGCTTATTTTAGCCCATTCACGTCAAAAAAATTCGAAAAACTTTAAAAACAACGATTATGACAATTGTCACTTATCTATGGTACATCTTCACTAAAATTTTATTTAAACATGTTAGCCTTAGCAATACTTATTTTAACCCATTTATGCCAAAAAAATACGAAAAACTAAAACAACATATTCTTATTATAATTTTGTTCACATTAATCATTTCCCCAAAATTTAGCAATTTACCAGATTTTATAAAAAAACAAAAAAATTGAGCAGACCCAACGAGCCGACTAAATGAGCCGAGCCGACCAATGCGGCTCATTTAGTCGACTCGAGTCAAACTCGTTTTATCGACTAGAAACTAGGCTTGAGTCGCAGCTAAGTCGACTCGGCTTAGCCGTTTAACAACACTAGGTATAATATAATTTAAAGTAGAAATAAAATTATATATTATTAGGAACGCCTTCTGTGTAACATATTTTTTGTTTTTGTATGCATCGGTCATTCTCGATAATATAATAATAACTCAACTCAAGTTATATTCATATGAAGGAAATTTTTTAATTAGCAGAAATGATTTAAAGTTAGAGCACATAATAACTGAGGTAAGGAAAGGGAGTAGGATTATAGGTTAGAAAGATATGAGATAGGGTTGGCGGTTAATTAAATTTGGGAGATATGGATTAGTTATGGATAATTCATATTTTAATAACACATCTGGCAGGTCATGTGATTATAGACAAATATAAATTATTATTATATCTCATTTGCAATTTTGATTATTAAAATTTTACAAAATACCAGGGCTTCAAACCGGAACGAACCGTTATAAATTTCTGAACCATAACCGAGTCGTTATATTGGAGGCAATTTAAATTCGTGAGTTCTTTTACAATTAAATCGCATCTTCATATCAATCAATACCAAGTTTATTGTTTGATTGTGCAAGTTATTAGTAAATAAAAAATAATCTTCATGGTTATTAAATAAGGAATTATAAAAATATAATTTAAAAAGATTTTTCTCTAAGATTAATAAATGTATGGTTTAAATTTTAAAAAAATCAAATTTATGTAAACCAAAAAGAAATCTTCAAAAAAGCCGAAATGGAAAAACAACTAAAAACCGAACCGTACTTAACGGTTCGGAGCTCTGCAAAATACTCGTCTTAATTGATCACTTAGACTAGGAGATATATTTATAATTAATTTAATACAGATTATTAATTATTTCCAATAAAAGGATACAATGCAAATAAAACATTTTATGTGCTAATTAGGCCTACAAAAAAACGAATCGAATCGAATAATTGCGCTATTCGTATTCGTACGAATAATAAAATCATTATTCGTTTCGATTCGTCGAATATTCGATTCGAAAATTTTTCTAAAGCTTATAAAATATTTTGCAAAAAAATTTTTACAGATGTTTAAAGATGACACTTTTAAGGATTTTCTAAACTAATTGTCATTTTTGCATATAAAATATAACAAAATTTATAGAATTTATTAAAAATACTTTAGTCGCATAAGTTTCCTTTATTAAATTACTAATATAATTTTTAGAGGTGATTATGACAATGTAATAGAGGAT